GGAAGGGATTTGAGGTCCAGGTATGTAGAGACAGAGTTCAGGTCCCTTGCTTGGGGGAAGAAGGTGGGTGATAGCTACCTATCCCAGGCTGAGAGTTGATCCTCGATGGCCAGTTGGGGTCTTCTTTAGCAAGCTGTTGCTCAGAGGTGGAGTTGCCGGCAGGGCCTCTGGGTGGATAGGTGGTGTGGTGTGGTGCTGGTCCAGATGGAGAGGGCATCCCAAGGAGGTCACACACTACCATCTCTTTTATAGGGGTGACCTACCTGTGTCTTCTATGGGAGAGACATGTCCAGGCAAGGACAGTCCCGCTCAGATGTCTACATGCAGATCCAGGTGTCCTCATTGTCTGGTAGGACACAATGGTGGGGTTGCTGGTGTCTGTAGGGTGTTTGTTTTTCAAATGCTGTATTTCTGTTCTGTTCCTGGGTGAGGTCTGCGGTTCCTTGGTGATTCTGTTCTGTTTCTGGGTGAGGTCTGTGGTTCCTGGGTGAGTCAGTGGAAGGCAGTGGTGCGGTTGTTGAGTTGATCATTCAGTAGAGGCCTGCTACCAGTGTACCTCAAGCACCCTCATTCATTCCCATTCATTCAGGAACCAATTTACATGAGACTGGTTAGACATGAATCACAGTTATATAACATAGGTTATACCCGGACAGAGGACACAAGATGGAGGCTTGACATACAAAATGGAAACTTGACATTACTTGACATTATTTTACAGACATAGGCCTAAATCATATAAATTCAATATAAAACAGTAAAAATCAATACAAACATAATAGAACACTCTTTACAATATAAAAGGGGCTTGTTACTATAAGGGAGTATAAGAACTTAGCTTACCTAGTACTACTTGTAATCACTAATAAATAAGGGATAGAGAGGGCACAGAGTAAGTCAGAAATGGTTGGGGAAGGGGAGGGAATGCATTTTTAAGTTAAAAAAAAAAAAGAAAAACCTGGGGGGGTTGCTACACTGTGGTGTTGGGAAACCTCTCTGCCTGTTTCCCAATGTTAGAGCTGATTTTGAACTTCCTGTGCAATGTGCTTTGAAATGCATGGATGCCAAGTTCCACATAAGAGCCAAGCATGGATTTTGTAAGTACTTGCTGTCTGTCTGGACTCTCCTTGCTGTCTGGGCAGTACATTCCTAGCAGCCTTCCTAGCAGCTGTTTGTCTCTCCCCCTTTAGCTCCAGTGAACTGGTTGCTTTTAAATACCCTTGGCAAGGTGTTGCTTGAGGCACTCCTTGAGGGACTTGAGACACCTCTCAGTAAATGCCGGCTCTTAGTTTTGACTAATTTTTTATACTATAAAAAATAATAGAGAACTTCTTCTGTTGCAAGGAACTCAGAAAGACCCTCAACAGGGTAGAATGGTTTTAACACTATGGATTCTTCTTTGAAATCTCTGGGATTATCTTGTGAAGCAAGTTTATAAATGTAACAGTTAACCACGGCTTCAAAGGTCCTGAATTCCATGGCTGGCCATGCCCTCCAACTTCTGCTGCCCCACTGATAGCCCAGCAGGCCAGATAGAGCAGCTCTGCAGGCTGGATGTTTGACACCCCTGAGTTAGAGACATCATTAGCAGTTATGCTGTGTGTGATCAACTGGTAGGACGCTGACCTGACAGAAGAACAGTTGTAAAGCTTTTTGGTATTGTATGCTATGCACTGTTTTCTGGGGTAAATACCTCTGGGATAACCCTCCCTCCCGTGCTGTGAATTTGCTCTCTATCCTTTGCTATTGTTCCAAACTAATCCAACCTGCTCATTTCATTACAGGTCTCTAAGAAGTACAGCGAGATTGAGGAGTTTTACCAAAAGCTAGTTGCACACTATCCACACACTTCTCTGCCACAGTTACCAAGAAAAGTTCTGTTTGTTGGAGAATTGGATATCCGAGAACGAAGAACAGCGTTCAATGACATCATGAAATCCATTGCTAAAGATGTGGATCTTGCCACGAGCCCCGAGTTATTGGAGTTTTTAGGTAACTCTTAATGTCTACATTGCACAGAAAACCCTCTCTTTGAAAAGAACATTTTGAAGGCTGCAGAATCAGGCACTCAGAAGTTAGAGATGTCAGATTTAAGGCTGCGTGTTACATCACAGAAAGACATCCCAGTCACAAACTGTTTTTTCCATAGGATGCCTGCCTCATTCGCTACACAGAGTGGATGATGCTGTCTTTGTAGGCTTCTATGCAACATTTGGTTTGCTCATTGTTTTATTTCTTAAAGGATGGGATTATAGTGACTGAGTTAGACACCACTAGGAATAATGCTGTGTGATTAGCTGGAAAGACGGTTATTAAGCTTTTGGGTACTATATGCCTTCTTGACTGGGCCATGCAGGCAAATGAATGAAAGGTGCAGGGATAGATTTGAGTGGTAAGCTACTACTTCATTAATTTAAACCTAGGGAGCGGTTCTGTGCACATCCCTGTCCCTACCCAACTCTGTCACATACCAACCATAGAACTAGTTCTGGTGTGGAGTTATAAGGCTCTAATTCATTAGATCAGTAGTGCAGGACAGACTCTCCTCAGCCCAGGCCTGATGCTGAGCTTGCCTTCAGGTGATTACCTGGCAGACTGTGCAGGCTTTACCTATGCAGGGTGCTGCCTGAGAATTGCATCAAACTGAGGAGTCTTACCTTTCCTAATATTAAGCTTCCCAATCCTGTGGCTTTCACCCTGATTGTGTCTCCATGGCATCATGATGAATGGAAACCACTCCCTCCATCTTAACTGTTTGACCCAAAGGGAAAAATGTCTGATTCCCAAAGAAGTAATTGGTTGGACCCAGAGAATCATGAAAACACAGCTCCTCCCCTCCAGCTATGGAGAAGAAGGCAGGAAATGCAACAGGGGCAGGAGGCTTGAAAATCCTTTTTAAATAGATCTATTTAAATAGCAGGGCCAGGGTTGATGGTAGAGCCAGTTGAGCAGCCTGATTTACCCAAGAAGACAAAAGGGAGAAGGCCAAGCCTTTATCTTGCCAACCACAAGTTCTTATTTCCCCGTCTCCTCATTCTTTCACATCGTATTCCTGCTTTTTGGCTGCTGTTCTCCTCCCCTTCATGTAGCAGTGCGGAAGGACATTTACTTGCACACTTTTCAAATAACTGTGAATGCAAAGCCACCTAAAGCTGATTCTTTTTCATGTCTTTGTAGCACTCTACAGCATGGAGTAAATTCAAAACCCAGTTTCCTTTCATTTCCATTGCAGCTGTGTGAACACAGCAGTTCTGCAAGTAAATCAGACTCCAAAGACTCAAGTCAGGCAGAAACTGAGGATCACACAGTTAATGACTCTGTGGAAAATTTGATTTAAATGACTGGCCCAGGATCACACAGGAATTCTGTGATGGTGACAGGGATAGAATCCAGTGCCTGAAGGCAGCGTTCCACTGCATTAACCAGGAGACACTCTTTATTTTTCCTGTGATCCTTTACCTCATTCACTGCTCGCCTTCCAGTGTCTGCAACACATGGGGAATTGACTCTCTCTAGGCAGCAGTTGCCTTTTCTGCACACCCCAATTCATATCCTGAGTAGATCCATGCTGTGCACTGAATGAGGCAGGTGCCTTTGAGGAAGAAAATAGCATGTGATTATATAATTAAAGGCTGCCAGATCCAAGCGTGCAAGAAGGGTGAATTAAGGTGAACAGGCAACTTTAATGCTGGAATTTCCCCACTGTGGAATGCTTGCTTTTGCAGACTTTGTGGTCATGTTACTATGTTTGCCTGTGTACGTGCCTGTGATTGTCTAGGTTTTTGTAAAACCTGAAAAAATACCACCAAAATTTCTGTCATGCAGGACCCCTGAGGGCCATCAGCAGGTCAGAACCTTTAGGTCCCTCTCATAGATTTCTGCTACTTGTGCTAATGGACTCATTGAGAGGAACAGCAGACTGTCATCCTCTACCAGGACTGGTCCTAGAAAGGGATGAGATCCTTTGCCAGAGGCTTTCAGTAATATCTGCTGCCAGCAGAAGAATAGTGAGACTCAGGAATATTGGGGTCCATTGTGGGAGTGTGTTGTGGTGGGTCTGGTCTCCCCATTTCAGTCTTGTTCCCCCCACCAAGCCAGCCTCAGTCTGCACTTCTCAAGAATTTTATCCCAGCTTATATCCATGTTCAGATGCTTATAGTTCACCACCAGCACTGGGTTCCCAGCTGCTTTGTACTTGCTCCTCTTGTTCTCTTGGTTTCTCCTCTAGTAGATCTATCTATTGTCAGTCTCCAGTTACTCCCATGCTCCCCATCTTCACTGGCTGCCATCCTTCATCTCTTCCCTCCCTGTGTCTCTTATCCAGTCTCAGTGACTTCTCTGTACCTATTGTTATCCTTGTATCCTTCACCAGTCAGTTCTGATATCTGTCCCAGTCATCCCATCTCAGGTGCTCTCCACCCTCAACGTGGTTTCCAGGTCCTCCCTCTGCTGTTTTTCCGCTCTGGCCGCCATGCTCAGTCTCTTTGCCTAACTCCTAGTTCTAGTCCTAGTTTTCCTGCCCCCCCCTGCCATCTCTCAGTACCAGTCTTCACACACTCGCAGGCTCCCTGCCTCATTGTGTCCTCACCCCTCCAGTTTAGTTCCAGTTCTCTCTACATCCAATTCAGGTGGCTTCCTCTTCCGTGCCATCTGTCATCCTTGAGCAGGCGGAATGTGGTATTGAGAATACAAGGAGACAGACTGGCTGCTCTGAGTTTTTGCACTTGGGCCTCACTAGCTTGGAACAGCTGAGAATTGCATTTGCAGGGCAGGTACTGCATCCCAGAACTAAGAAGGACTCTCAAAGTTCTGGGGACATTCTACTGAGCAAGTATGAAACAAAATTGTTCAAAAGCTTATAATATGGCCAAGTATGGGTGACTTTTTCATGGGGAAATCAAACAAAGCTCCAAAGCTAGTGAATTTCCAATAAAATTCACTAAGGTTTTTTTTTTTTTTAACATGAGCAAACCAATCTATTCCTCCCTAACATGTTTTTCTCCTCTGCAATATATAGAGAGAGCAAGAGAGAGCAAGCAAGAATGCATGCCTGAAGCAGTCACTGGCGTAGAAAATTGCAAGCCCAATAATTAAAGTTTGCCAAAATTATAAGCAACTGAAAATAAGGTCTTATAATGCATAGGAAATGTCTGGCAACCTTAATAAGCAGTTCCACTGGCATGCATGTTGTCACATTATACTAAGTTAGTGGATCAAGCCCTGAATACCTCAGGCCTTTTTAAGTCATTGGGTTTGTTCTGTTCATACTGCCTGTATCTCGGGTACTAAGGAGCCTGAGGCTCCAAACTGGTTATGCCCCCATACTAAACTTTTAAACTGAGGTAGTTAGCAATGTTAGTCTGAAGTCAGGCAGAAGGTGAGGCAGGGTGACACCTTAGAGGTTTGGCATTTAGTGATTTTGTTGTTGCCTACAAAAGCTCTTATGCCTTTCCGGATCCGTTAGTCTCTAAGGTGTCACCCTGTCCTACCTTCTGTCTTTTAAACTGAATGTAATAAATGTAATGGGAAGACTTGGCCAAAGCAGTTATATATTTTATGTTGAGGCTTGGTTGTTCATATTGATGTTTCTTGCCTGTACAATGGACTTACACTTTCTTTTGAAGCATTTTAGATCAGTATATATGGGAGTATCATTTTCCATTGAGTCCAAGGTTATATTCTCAGCTCGCCTGTACTAAGTCCATTAAAAAGGTCACACCTTCAAACCTACAGCATTTGGTAGATGGTAGGGGTTGATGTTCCAGTCCAGATTGTAGGATGTGATTCACTGAAACTGTTATTTGTATTCATTCTCCAAGTGTAACTATTGGAAATAAAGATTGAGGTAGTTAGCCATGTTAGTTTGAAGTCAAGCAGAAAGACAAGGCAGTGTGATACCAGGCTTAGAGACTAACTCACTCGGAAATGCATAATGCATTCCTGTAGGTGACAGGAATTGCTTGTGGGCTTAGAAGTGGTGTGCAGGGACGATTGTGTAGTGGGTGCATGGGGGTACATGTGCACCCCCTGAGAGTGCTGGTGTACCTCCTGTCAAGCTGTGTAGCCGGGGGGCAGGTGGGAGCACCAGCGCTCTCCCCTGCGAGCGCCGACTAGGGAGCGGGGCCACCAGCTAAAGCCAGTGGGATGAGCTGCGGGGGGACCCCCCACCCCCTGGTCGCTGACTGGTGTCGCGGGCGGGGGGCATGTGCACCCCCCCCTTGACTAGAGGCACCAAATACTCATGGTGGTGTGAATTTCTTCATTTCCTTATTCACTAGAGTCTACTAGACTGTAGCTTACAAAAGATTATGCATTTCTGAATGAGGTGACATCAAATGTGCCATCCTGCCCTGTTGTAAATGCATGCAAAATATCATGTTGTTAGGTTAATTTGGCATGCTGATTTCTTCATGCAGTATTGTTATTTACAGGAACAAAATTTACTGGAGTCATTGACTTTAAGGGTAAAAATGTTCCTGATGACAGGGAGGAGGAGGAGGAACATGAAGTGTTAGATTTCTTCAAAGAGAGGACATCTGACACAGTCTCTCAGATGCCAGTGGTAAAAGGTCAAGGAGCCAAAAAGGAAGAAGAAGAGGAGGAGGAGGAGGAAGATGTAGATCCTCTTGGTATAATCAGGTATGGCTGTCATCCTCTCCTCCACTTTATACATTGCTGTGTGGTGTCCTTTCATAGCATCTGATGAAGTGAACTCAAGTTCACAAAAGCTTGTGGTCTATATATATGTTATTTAGTTAGTCTCTAAGGTAAATATCTACCGTGCCTTCATCCTTTTCTGTTATACCCTTTGTATGTACAGTATATGGAACTGATTCTGATTAAATGTACACCAATGAAGATGGAGTTGCAGCATCATCAAACCAAAGTGACAATATTTGTTTTATGAGATCAATGTGTAGGCTTTTTCTTTCTTCAGCAAGTGTCTGAAGAGCCCATGTATAACCCTGAGATATCAAAAATTGGAACTTGAGACCCAGAATAATCAAGACCTGCCTAAGTAGGCATCTAGGTTTATTTATCTAGTTAATCATTCTAAGACAGTTATTTTCCTTACTTATATCTAAAGTCTCTTGCTAATTCCCAATGCCGTTTCTGCATTGCTGCAGAAGCAAAGTTAGCTTAATGTCTCTCTCTAGCTAGGGTGGCCAGTACTTACTAACAATTTTGGGGTGCCTGAACTTATCCAACCTAAGATACTTTAAAGGGACTTGATTTTTAGAAAGTGCTGAACCTCTTGCCCTTTGAAAATCAAGTATGTTTAGCACAGTGCAAGTCAGACATCCAGAGTCACCAGCTCCTTCTGAAGATGTTGGTCCAGGGCAGTGGGCACCAACCTTCTTGGTAGGAGTGTCACAGATTAGCTCAGGTGTCCAGGTTGTAGCCATATTGGTCTAGAGGTAAAGGCAATCGGGACTTGTAGTAGAGATGATATCTTTTATTAGACCAACAAGATTTTTGCAAAAAAAAATTCTTTAATTGCAAGCTTTCAGGCACAAACACTTTTTATGAGGCATTGGAGAAAAGATTGTAAAAGTTTTCCTGGGTAGAAACGAAACAGATTAGCTCTGCACCTTCCTCAAGTGCCATTCTAATCTCCTTCTTCTGCCTGATCTCCTGGTCTCCTTTTGACTTCCTGTTCCCTCCCTGATCTGTTGCGTGCCACACACAGAGGCTGCTCGTGCCAGTTGTAGCATTTGTGTCCCACATTGGCCACCCCTGGTCTAGGGCTTTCATACTATTTTAAATTAGTTTCTCCTTAGGAATTGCCTGTGAACTTAGAGATGGTGTGACTCTCCCCTTTTCTTTAGTAGAGTCTAAAAGTATTTTAACCTAAGGTCACTAACAAGGCTGAGACTCCCACAATGAAATCAGGCCAATCAGAAACTATTAGAGCTGGAAGCATAGTTTAGATCTTGCTGCAACTGTTATAACAAAATGTCATTGCTAACTTCCAGATGCCATCCTTTTTACTTAATGTCTTTCATCCCTTGATTGCCATCAAGAAATTTTAAACAGTATTCTTTTAGCAAAGAACATGTGCAATTACTCAGTATAAGAATTATTTCGTTGTTTGGGATTTATTTTTGTTTTTGTTTTAGGAAGGTTTTAAAAAATGTTAAATAACTTTATAATGAAAAGCTAGATAAAGCTGTACTTCCCGCAAAATAATCCTTAGCTAGTAAGCTTACAGAAGTCACTGCCCTTTTTTGGATAGGAAAATGATCTATTGAGTTAGAAAATGTATTGTTGGTTTTCCCATTTATAACAAATATAAATGACAAAGAATGCCCAGGGCCAAGACAAACAAGAAGTTTGCTTTTCTGCCCTGCGTAGTTTGACTTGTGTCTCAATCTTTTGGTCTGTTTAGTGTATCTGAGGATGAAAAGGTCTGGGGCTTAATCCTCATTTACCTACGCTTTATCCAAGCTAAATAGTTGTTGAAGTCAGTGGAGCTTTGTTTAAATAAAATCAAATATGAGCTTAGTTAGAGTTCCCTAGATACAGGAGAAATCTCTACATCATTGGTTGCATTCCATACAATCAAACACTTTTCACTACAGCATCAGGGTTGGGCTCACACAAAATGAATCTGATTCTTTTTCTTATGAAGGTTATGCACAAAACACATTAAAGGTGTGACAAAACCCAAAAGCTTTAAGTTGGAATTATTGGTTTGAATCTGAGCTTCACTTCACTCATATCACTCACATTGATATATCTCAGTCAGCCTCATTAGAAGATAGTCCTCATTTAAAGCAAGGCAGCTGATGCTAGAATCAAGCCTTATGCCTTGAACAAGTCATAGAATCATAGAAGTAGGGTTGGAAGGGACCTTGTAGATCTTCAAGTCCGACCCCCTGCCTGGGCAGGAGGAAAACTGGGCTCAAGTGACCCCAGCCAGGTAGGCATTGAGCCTCTTCTTAAAGACCCCCAGGGTAGGAGCCAGCACCACTTCCCTTGGAAGTTGGTTCCAGATCCTAGCCGCCCTAACTGTGAAGTAGTTCCTACGGATGTCTAATCTAAACCTACTCTCCAACAACTTGTGACCGTTATTCCTTGTTATCCCGGGAGGCGCTAGGGGAAACAAGGTCTCCCCCAAACCCTTCTGGTCCCCTTTAGTGAATTTATAGACAGTCACCATGTCCCCTCTCAGCCTTCTCTTGTGAAGGCTGAACAGGTTCAGGTCCCGTAGCCTCTCATTGTAGGGTCTGCCCTGCTGTCCCTGGATCATGCAGGTGGCCCTCCTCTGGACCCTCTCAATGTTGTCCACATCCCTCTTGAAGTGGGGTGCCCAGAACTGGACACAGTACTCCAGCTGTGACCTGACCAGTGTCGCGTAGAGGGGGAGGATCACCTCCTTGGCCCTACTCGAGATGCAACTGTGGATGCACGATAGGGTCCGGTTAGCCCTGCCGACCGTGACCTTGCATTGTCAGCCCATGTTCATCTTGGAGTCAATGATGACTCCAAGATCCCTTTCTGCCCCCGTGCTCTCAAGAAGGGAGTTTCCCATCTTATAAGTGTGCTGCTGGTTACTACTGCCCAAGTGCAGCACCCTGCACTTGTCCGTATTGAAACGCATCCTGTTTTTGTTAGCCCACCCCTGCAACCTATCCAGGTCTTTCTGCAGTCTTTCCCTCCCTACTAGTGTGCCCACCTCACCCCAAATTTTGGTATCATCAGCAAATTTGAACAGGTTACTTTTCACCCCGTCGTCCAAATCGCTGATAAAGTCCTTTTGTGCTGACATGACTGCTGTTATGTCATGTATAGATTCATAGATTGTAAGGCCATAAGGGAGCTTGGAAGATCATCAGGTCCAGCCCCCTGTACCACTCAGGAAAAATGACAGGGGGGGTCAGGTGACCCCAGCAAGGTGACCGTCCAGTCTTCTCTTGAAGATTTCCAGGGTAGGCGATTGCACCACCTCTGGAGGGAGCTTATTCCACAGTCCAGACGCAGTAACTGTGAAGAAGTTTTCCTTAGTGTTGAGTCTGAAATGGTCTTCCAGGAGTTTGTGGCCATTACTCCTGGTTTTCCCCTGGTTCACTGAGACCCTGATGTACTCCCCTGATGTAGCGGTAGACTGCTACCAAGTCCCCTCTCAGCCTTCTCTTTTTCAGCCTGAAGAGTCCCAGGTCCCTCAGCCTTTCCTCGTGTGGCTTGCTGTGCAAGCCTCTAATCATATAGGTGGCCCCAGTGGTATTTTTATTTATAAAAATATAAATAGGTGCTGATTTCTAGCTTCAGGCCCCCTGCCATAAGTTTCTCAATACACACCATAATATTCCTTATCATTAAGGAATGTGTAGAAACCACAAAGTGAATCCCTCTATCCCAGCAAGCAGTAGAACAACTCTACTCTACATGTTGATCACATGTAGGTACACTTTACATCCCTCATTGATGTGGGGTCTTCTGTAAATGTGCCATGCAAAAAACAGAGTAATGTGAAGACAGACTTTTTGCCCAGCTCTAGAGGTTTTTGCGTCTTACTATGGTATATTGTCTGTCCGAGTGAATTTCAGGATCCCCTTGGATCTATCTAGTAGAGTAGCTATTTTATAAGATAGCTTTTCAAGATGGATTTTCCTAGATAACACTGACTTTCCCCCATAGAGCAAATCTTATTCATATTACTGCTTGCTTGTGTAGAGTACAGCCACAAATGCGGTTTGCCTGATAGTAGCAACATGTCAGTGAGCTGGTACTACGTTGCTCCCAAGTGGCTGTGGCTTTTATAGGAAGTGTATCTGAATACATGGTATGGAAATGTAGGAGAAATGTTGGTGGCAAACAGCTGTTGCTTTTACCAGGTGTTACTGCAACTGGGTACCAGCTGTCATGAATTCTACATCAATATACCTGATATTCAGGACTTGTCTGCATTGCCTAAATGCTGACTTTGGGAGTGCTGTCAAGAAACATGTCCCATCAGTTTCAGTCCCAGAAACGAGACAACATAACCACCTTAGAGAGGCCCCATGCTCTTAGTTTCTTGGCAGTGCTTATTGGTAATAAGGATTGCTCTAAAGCAGCCTTGGTGCTTCATTCCCAGGTTTCGGAGCACATGGAAAGGGAGTGAGTGGACAGGACAGGCTTCTTGGCAGCACTCTGGGGCTCAGTATGAAAACAGTGTAGACAAGACCAAAGAGCCTTGTCATTAACCCAGGCAACTCAGAACAACTGGAAGATGTTAAACTGTGTGGGGGGACAGCAGGGAGACATGCACTTGCACAGCCACAATGTATAAAGTTAGAATGGGAGAGCAAACAGTGCCAAGAGTGACTGGTGAGGATGAAAGCTGGTAAGGACTGAGGGGCAGGAGTTGCTGAATAAGAAGGAACACGGACTGTAGGAAAATGCTGAAGTGGAAACTTTGCTAGTGCTGAGCACTAAGCTTTGGAAGCCAGACAATTGCAGTGCCATATGAAAAGGGTGATAAAAGGAACAATAATCCTGGCCAGCTTTTTCAATCAATGAAAAACCTTTGAAAAATATGTAAAGTCAGCACTGAAACCAGATTATCCCTTCAGAGTGGCGTGTGTGTCTGTGGCGCTTGCGGCAGCAAAGCTGACCTAATTGAATTGCACGTCTGACAGACCGCTTTTCTCTGG